CCACCAGTCTGGCGTCTGTCTCCACACTTAGGTTATTCACAAATATCACACAAAGGAAATCACGCACCATGTATTCTTTTGATAGTGGCTTTTTTTCGTTCAGCATAATCTCATTGAAGTGTATTTACTTCAGTAGGTTTTTTTAGAGATTTGTATCGCCTTCAGTATGCAACTCGCTCCTTTCCACCTCTACCTTTGTGCCATTCCCCGCCTGGATTGCACCGCTACCTACCAACTCTCTCTACCAGTCTGTCTCCATCTCCTTTGTCAGAGGGTCTCAGTGCTGCGCGCCTGAACCCGCCTGACTCCTCTCTGTTCTAGCATCCGTTGTGTGGTCCTCATGCCGTATCATTCTCCACTTGCAGGTAGAAGGCAGAGATCATGTCCAACTTACCTTTCTATCCCCAGCATCTAGTACAGTGCCTGAAATGTAGGAGGTACTCACTAAATTATTTTTTGGATGAATGAATTTTTTTGCTCTGTTTGGTTCTTACATTGTGTCTTGAGTATGTTTTCTCCCCAGTGAGAGTCAAAACTAGATTGTAAATCCCTTGAAAGCAGCCACTGCATTCCATTTACTCACTAGTTCCCAGTGAGGGCCGCCGTCGGTGTCTGTACGTGGCCTCAATGAGTGTGTGCCCTTGTGTGTGCTGGGACGGGGTGAGGGCGGAGGTGCCCATGGGGCTGGTTCCCCAGCCGCCCAGCCTGACTCCCCACAGTCAGCAGGACGGACCTGGAGATGTCGGGGCTGAAGACCCTGGAGCACGTGGCCGTGACCGTCTCCATCAGTCATCCACGACGCGGCAGCTTGGAACTCAAACTGTTTTGCCCTAGTGGCATGATGTCCCTCATCGGCGCCCCCCGCAGCATGGACTCGTACGTACACCTGCCCGGCCCTTCTGAGCTCTTTTTGCAACCAGGGTCTTTGCAAGGAAAAGATACAGGACGCGCAGACACCGGCACTGGCCTGAGCTAGCATGGCGCTGGCTGACCGTAGCAGCCGGAAGCCATTTATGACCTGCTTTGTTCAAGTCGCTTACAATGTGCTAAGCACTGCACTTGACAGATATTTTCTGTAATCCTTTGTAACCTCCCTTTGCAAATGTGGAAACAAGTCACAAAGCTAGTAAGAACCCGAGGAAGTGACAGGAAGCCTAGATCAGTGGCGCTCTGCAGCCTGTGGTCTCGCCGCCTTTGCTCTCCCACGACGACAAATTGATGCGAGCCCTCTGCTCCACGGGAGTCCAGGGAAGGGGCGGCACCCGGGGACCCTTCGTGCCATGCTCCCCAGTGACTGTAGCTCAGGCAGCAGCCGCTGCGTGTTCACGGCTGCTTCAGTGAGGAAATCGTGTTTGTGGGCCGAGGGTCAGCTCCCTGCCCCACACCTGCTAGGTTTTCTACTTTTTTCTCCCCCAGAGATCCCAACGGCTTCAATGACTGGACCTTCTCCACTGTGCGGTGCTGGGGGGAGAGAGCGAAGGGGACTTACAGACTTGTCGTCAGGGATGTGGGTAAGCCTGGCTGCCCTTCCGTCTGGCCCCTCCGGAGCCCAGAGTCCCCGCGGAAACCGTCCCACGGGGAATACGTAGGGTTGCCGTTGGACGAACAGGGTAGAGGCCAAGAAGTACGCCCCATCTAGAGTATGGGCACCGAAATCAACTTGTTCATTGGCACCACCTCTCATACTCCTTGGAGAAGTGACTGATCCATTTTTCCTCAGGATAGCAACAAAAATTCCTTGTTGAAACCACATTTCAAGTCCTTTCACATATAACCGTCCTTCGGCCAGCCCTGGTAGGCAGGTAAGGGCAGGACTAATTTTCACCGTTTTTTGTTTTGGTTTTGGTTTTTTTGGTTTTTGGCTTTTTTGTTTTGTTTTGTTTTGTTGGTTTTTTTTTCCTTTTTTTGAAAACCCGAGGCCCACTCAGAGGTCTGACGTGGCTGGTGCAGGGTCATACAGTATTCCAGTGAGGAGACTGGAAACACCCCAGCCCTCCTGGCTTCCAGCCAAGCCAGGTATTCCCTAGACAGGTGGTTTTCAAACCTTCCTTTAACTTAGTAGAAGGACATTTCTTCTCCCCCAAGCAAAATCCTAGCTGAAACCCGAAAATATGAAAGAGCTAAAGGCAGAACCTCCTTACTTCGGAGCCCCGGCCTCTCGGCTCCCCGTGTCCATCCCTGAGGGCACCCCGTGAGGCAGTCTTCGGCCCCCCCCCCCCCCCCCGCCACCCCAGCCAGGGGGACGCGGATAGCCAGCTGCAGCAGGCTGGGGGGCGGGCAGGGCCTCTGCTGCTCCCCCGGCCAGCACAGGGGCGGGGCTCACGGCGCGTCGCTTGCCCCTCCAGGAGACCAGACACCCCAGGCCGGCACCCTCCGGCAGTGGCAGCTGACCCTGTATGGCTCTGAGTGGAGTCCAGTAGACATCAGGGACAGACAGCGGTAGGTGCCCGACGCATGTGCCACAGGGACGGCAACTCCCGGGGGCTGGGAGAGGCCGCTGAGGGCCCCCCCTTCCTTGGAAACCCACAGTACACACACCCCCTTTCTGCCCTGGGACCTCCCTCTCCTTGGCGGTGAAGTGGGAGGACGGGTAAGGGCAGGTGGCCGAGGAGCCAAGTTCTGGAGGGTGTCCTCATCTCTCGTCTTCCCCGCAGACTGTTAGAAAGTGCCATGAGTGGAAAATACCTGCATGATGGCTTCACTCTGCCCTGTCCTCCTGGGCTGAAAATCCCCGAGGAAGATGGTTACACTATCACCCCTAACACTCTCAAGGTACGAGGGCCAAACCTCCAGCTCTAGGCGGGAGGGCCCGCAGGGGCGGAGGGGGCTGCGGGGGGGTCAGTCCTTGCTGGGGTGCTCCAGGTGGCCTGAGAAGTGAGGGCTGGGGAAGACCCGGGCCCCCACTCTACTAGCCAGCTCGAAGAGGGCACTCCTTCATGGCGTTGAGTGCTTTGGGGTCGGGGTGGGGGTCCCTGGGAGGTGAGAGGCTCTCTGAGGTTATTGTTCCGGGCTGAGAAAAGCCACGGGGCTTTGGGAAACCATCGCTAACTTAGGTGCTTGACCTTTCCCAGACTCTGGTGCTGGTAGGCAGCTTCACCATCTTCTGGACCGTTTACTACATGCTGGAAATATACCTGAGCCAGAGGCACGTGGCCTCTCACCGCGTTTGTAGGAGCGGACCCTGCCACTGGCCCCAACGAAGCCAAAAAGCCAGGGAGGAGGGGACAGAACTAGAATCAGTGCCGCTGTGCGACAGCAAGGGCCCGGATGGGGCGGACACGGAAAGTGAGGGCCCTGCCCCCACGTCTGATCTTGTCCCGGACCTGCTGGATCAAGGGGACTGGGGGCTGTCCCAGGACAGGAGTGCCCTGGGCCGCCCTCATCACCACCTACCCCCAGACCTGCTGCAGGGGAAGGAGGAGCAGATCTGCTGACCCAGGGCCCGGCAGACTCGCCACGGGCCGAGCTCTTCCTTCCCCGAGCCAGGGCGGCTTGGAACGCCGCTCCGAAGTCCCGGGAGCTCTGGGGAGACGGCGGCCCTGATGCTCACATGGGAAGTCCTGTGATGACATTCAGGGAGGGCCAGGGACTTCTCGAGGTGCAGTGACAGAGGAATGGTGCCAGAGAACAGTGTGGCCACAGCCTCAGGACCCTCCTCTTCCTGAACGCGTCTGGTGAGAAGGCTCTGGACGAGGGCTCGGCCCCTCCCGCTCAGCAGGCCTGCTTCCTCATTTCTCCCTGGCAGGCCGGTGACGTGGGTCACAGGGACCCTCAACCATGCATGGGTGGGGCGGTGCCCGCTAGGACCAGAAGAGCCTCTCAGTAGAAACATCGCTGGGGTCACTTGGGAAGAGGGCTCGGGGTGAAGGCTGGGAAGAGCCCCTGCATATATGCCTGTCCCTTTAATGGCCCAGGACCTAGAAACTGCAGTCTCCTCCTCTCCCTCCTTCACCTTCCTGCCTACGCCTGGAACCTGGAACCGAGGCCCTCCCGGGAGGGCAGTTAGCCCTCGGCCCAGCCCCACTCGCCCTGAAAGCAGCTGCCTCCACTCGCCCTGATCGGAAGCCAACCTTGAACACACCCCTGACTCCTTCACCACCGCCCCCGCCCCCCGCCCTCCATCCTGAGGGATTGGTACGATGCTCCTGGCACGGCCCCCCAGGCCCCGCGCCGCCTCACTGCGGTAGTCTGCAGCAGGACCGTGACAGGGCGCGACCACTGCCACTCCAGCCCTGCGACCGCCCTGTCTTCCTCTACAAAGCGCTCAGGGAAATGGCCTTACCCGCTGGAGGCCCGCCGTCTGCCTCACGGGCTGTGAGTCCTCCCCCCGTTACCGGCCTCCTCCCCTCTTCTGAGCTAGTTTGGTTGAGCTAAATTTTTTTTAACGCTTAAGATTTGGGTTTGTCTTTTCACAGCAACATTTGGTTGAATGTTTTTCTGCATAGCTTTTCCAAAATAAAAACCTTCCACGCAGCTCTGCGGCTCCCCAGCTCCTGTCGTCTGCCTCCCAGAGCAGTTGCTGAGTTGCTCCCCTTGGCCTTCGGTCCCTGGTCCCCGAGAGCCACTCTCCTCCTCCGCCTGGCCCTCTGAAGGAGGCCGACCCCCCCCTTGAGGTCCTGGGATTTGAGAGGTCCTTCAGAGCTGGCTTTCTGGAACCCACATAAATGTTGCCTGCCTCTTCCCTGCTCGTGTTTTCCTAGAATCAGAAGTGACTAGGGCAAATCAAACTCTGCCAGCCAGGCCTGAGAAAAGATCGATGTATGTATTTGTTTCCTTTTGAATTTTAACCCCCAAAATATTCCAGCAAAAAAAAAAAAAAAAATGGGGGGGAGATTGGGCAGGATTACCTTCAATGGGTGTCTGCTGCCGAGGAGGCCAGTGGACTTGTCCCCTGCCCAGGCTACCCCTCGGCCCATGTTCCCCCTGCCCCGCCCAGGATGGGGAGGGACGGTGGGAGATGGTCGGGGAGCTGGGTGGAGGGTCAGGGGAGCGGTGCTTTAGGGTAAGAAATTGGGCTGAGGCTGAGGGGTGGGGGGAGAGCTGCCCAAGCGCGGTCACCTTTGCTCAGTGACGGAGCCTCGAAGCTTGCCCGGGGTTGAGCAGCTACGCGGGGGCGGGTGAGGCGGGCGAGGCGCGATGGCTGCAGCCGACGAGCTGGGGAAGGGCAGGGCTGGGGGCTGGCCCTCTCCCTCTAGCTGATGATCTGCCGAGGTCGTCCGTAGCCCGTCATGCCCGCCTGGGACGCCCCCCTGTTGCTGCCCATCTGTAGGCCGATGACATGTTTCCCCTCCTGCAGCTGGCTCTCTGTGAACTCCCTCTTGTGCTCCTGGGCTTTCCTGCAAGAGGGGAAACCGGGATAAAGACTTGTCAGGGCTGCACATTTCATCCCCCCACCTTCTCACTCCTGCCCCCCTGCCCCGCGCTGTTTCCTCTGTCGCTTCCTAGCTCGGTCCCATGTACCCCCCATCTCACTTCTCTTGCTTCCTTTACCTGGCTCGCCCTGTGGACCAGGGAGACTGGCAAGTATCAGGGACCCATTTCCTCCCGAGCCTAGACCTTCACTTTGGGCCTTCCAGCTATCTGCTTCCCCTCCCCCCTGGGCCTGACAGCCCAGCCTAGGCCGCCTCCCGCTCCCCCACAAAGACACCCGCCCAGAGCACAAGGAACCCCCCGGTGGCCACGTACTTCATAAACCAGTTGGGATCTCCACGGTAGTGCCCGTCGTTCTTGGTCACTGCCAAGCTGCCCAGAGCCATCAGGGTTCTCTGCACGGCTGCCAAGTCTTTGCCTGGGGGAAGAAAGGGCGGATGGGGCCGTGAACTTCAGGGCCATGTACCTGAGACTCCAGGGCAGGGCCTGCCCCACCTCTCAGAAAAATGGCCACCCCAGGGGCAAAGGTTGTCCCGGGATCAAAGGAAGCTCCAGGAGACCCTCTGATGCCCTTGGGTCCTGCTCTGCAGACCCGTTGGTGGCCTATTTTGATCAGCCCTCATCCCTCTGCCTCAGCTTCCTGTCCGGCACCCGCCTTCTCGACCCCTTTTCTCTCTGTACCTTCGAAGAGGTCAACGGTCTGGAACATGTCAGTCTTGGTGACCCCATAGTCCTCAGCCGCCTTCAGGAACTGAGCCACCTGCTCCATCTGCTTGAAGACCATGGATGGAGGGTTCTCGGGCACCTTCACCGGCTTGGAGCCGTCGGGATACAGGCTGTTCACCAGCTTGCTCAGAATCTGCCAGGCACAGGACGCAGCTGGGCACTCAGCTCGGGGCGCCTGCCCCACGACTGCAGCTGCGCCCCGGCCCCCCTTCCCAGGGTGCCACTCACCACGCCATTCTTCAGCCAGACCTGGAAGCCCAGGCGCCCGCGGTCCGGACGCCCCACATCTGGGCCACACTGCACTACGATCCACTCCACCAGCCGCTCCTCCAGCTCTTCGTCATACTTCTTCTCAATTTTGGATTGCACTTCGCGGCTCATGCCATAGGAAGGACCCTTGTTGGCCATGTTGAGGGAGAGCTAAAGCAGCACAGGCCACAGAAGGGAAAAGGTCAGAGGATCAGAGAACAACTCTGCTTTCACTTGTGCTAGGCAGGCCTTCAGGCTTCTAGGAGGATGGGGGGCAGGGGGTGCTACCCATCCTAGACATTTAGCTCCCCGTTCCCTCGTTTTTTTTCATGGCACTGCTCTTCTGGGCCAGGCTCATCCCCTGAGTCCAGGAAGGCTCTGAAGTTGGAGACCAGAGAAATGGGAGACCAGATCTTCAGAAGTCTAGAGCAAGGGTCAACCAATTTTTGTAAGCAACCAGACACTAAGTATTTTAGGCTTTGCAGGATATGTGGTCTCTGCCATTGTAGCAGGAAAGCAGCCTTAGATGATACAGGAACAAGTAAGCACGGCTTTGAGCCAATAAAACTCTCTTTACACAAACAAACAGCACAGCACGCTGCATTTAGCCTATGGGCTGTAGCTTGGCAAGGGTCTAGAGCATTCTTTCTTTGCCAAGATTGGCCAGAGGCATTGGAGACACGTTCCAGAGGAGGCCACACTGCTCTCCCAAAATGAAGCAGGTTTCTTTGTGCAGCCAGGCCTGAGACGGTCCTGCCTTACCTGTCCCTCCGCTGTATCCTCTAACCCCAAGCTGGAGCTCCAAAACCACAGCTCTTTGCCAGGTCAGCTCAGCCTCTGGCCTGCAGAGGCTAAAGGGGCTCAAACTTATCCACCCCTGGCAAGGTCTAGGAAGCCAGCAAAACCCAAGAGCTTTTGGTCAAGAAGCTGTCCTTTCTCAGGTGAGTCAGGAGACACACACACACACACACACACACACACACACGTGCACACAGAGAGAGAGAGAAAGAGAGAGAGAAAACACTGATAGACCCATAGACTCTCTCATACCCTCAGGCTCCTGCCACTGTCGTAGCTGAGTAACTGAGGAGGCTGAGCCCTCCAAGGAGATCCCAGAGCCAAGAATCTGCCAGCAAGAGCGTGGGGAGCCCCTCCCCCTGCCCTGAAAGTCTGGGGCCGGCACGGCTGGGGCGAGCCTCAGGATGCAGGGGGAAGGCTGTAGCAGCAGCGTGGGCAAGGTAGGCCTCTGGGCAGACGTGGCTGGTCAAGAGGAACCTGACCTGGCCCCAGGTATCACCCAGAGCTCACCGGAAGAGCCCTCTGAGAGAGGTACCAAATGAGGCCAGACCCATCACCTGGCCTCAGAGAGGGGAGATTGGGAGGGAGAGAATGACCTCAGGATGGGGGCAGTCGGCGCGCTCCCCCGACTCCCCCTCTTGCCGATATCAGACCCTCTCCCCTGCACCACCTGCACCACTGTGGGGAGCTTGTCATGGTCCCAGGTCAGCTGCCCAACCCTTCCTTCCCCCACAACTGACAACTTCCCTGCATTCAAGTCCCCCATCTGTGCACTGAGGATGATGTCACCTCCCTCAGAGAGCTGTGCCTTCACCCAGGCACTGTCTGTGACTCCCTCCCAGATTCACCTCCTGGTGGTGACCTGGGAGACCCACCCCTGACCCAGGGATAAAAACTGTTGCTCCCCACTCCGGCCTCCACCCCTTTTCCAAGTCATCCCCTGAGGGGACAACAAAGTTTGAGAGAAAGAACACGGGGGATGGACTCATTTGATTCCAGTCACAGGGCAACTCACTTCTCACTTGTCTTGGGCTTGTAAAGCTCCAGAAGGCTGGGCCACCTCTGAGCACGGCCACCCTCATCTGGCCAGTGATGCCAGAGAATCCAAAAGCAGAGTCTCTGTTTTCCTATAGACAGCCCAACCCCTCCCTGCCCCACCCCTGCTTCCCAACCACCTGAGGGCGGAGACTAGTGGTCCGGGAGCGGGTGCCTTCAGCCCATCCTTCATCCTGGGCCCTGCTCAGCCTTCACCCACCAGCCCAGGCAGGCAGTGCACACCCCACCTTCCCCACCCTGCCCCCTTGGTCTTCCCCACCCACCTACCCTCCCAGACCCTGCGCCCGCTGTGAGGAGCAGGACAGAAGCAGAGTTCCGTCAGCAGCCCCCACCCCCCGGCTTTCAGTCTAAGAGATTCAGAGCAGATAGTTGAGGTGTCAAGGCTGGGTGACAAGCACGTGAAGCTGCAGCCCGTAGATCCAGAAGCAATATCTGGATTTTTATCAGAACAGGGAAGGGGATGAAATGCACCCCACCCACCCCAACCCCACCCTTCTGCCTCCCAGGGATGAGTCTGAAAGCGGAGAATTCCAAGAAATCTTAATAAGTCCTCTGACCAAGACCTCCCCGGTCCCACCCTGGAGCTGCGGGAAGAAGAGAAGCAGAGGGAAATGGCTGCCAGGCAGCCCACCCAGAGGCCTTTCCAGACAAAGGCTCCTGGGGCACCGCAGGCGGGCCAGTCGGACTCTGCTTTGACCTCCCCTCCCCTGAGGGAAGGGACAAAGGCCAGCGGCGAAGGGACAGCGTGCACCTGCTACTGGCAGGAAGCAGGGGTCTCTCCAGGACCACCGGCCCCCTCTCTCTTCGAAATAGAACACAGCCAGTAGGGGCAGGCACAGGGGGCTCTCTGAGATGGCAGGAGGGATGGCTCCTCAATTCTGGGAGCAGAGAGGAGCAGCCCTAGTCACTGCTGCCCTGTGGACAGCAACCACTGAGGGGAGCCAGCCAGACCCTTCGGGAAGGGCCCAGGGTCCCGGACCCACCCAGCCCTGTGCAAGCCACCCAGGACAACACTACAAAGCCCTGACGGTGCCCACCCCTCAGCCCTCTGCCTGCTGTGGGGTCACCTCCCACTTTCAGAGGATGGAAGGAGCCATGTGTTTAGAAAAAGCAGCTCTCGCAGGTCCCCGCACCAGGCCACCTGACTGTTCCAGGGTACAAGAACTTAGGGGTCCTCCCCACTGCCTCAGTGGCTCCCTGGGGCCTCTGTGCTGCTCAGACCCAAGTGCCCGCCAGCAGAACACCGCTCTGCGGCACTGGTAGGCTCGCACACCTCCTCACCTCAACAGACAGAGCCTTGGGTCTAACGCAACACCTGGAGCCCACCACACACCCTGTGGGTATGACTGTGGCCAAACATGGGGAGCCTCTCTGTCACCTTCTCTCTCAGGTCTCCACTGTCAGTCCCTCTGGCCTGCCAAGCCATCTTAAGATCAGCCTGGGGCTGCCCAGGCAAGTACTCCAAGTACGAGATTCTAGCAATGTCACCCATGTCCCCCCACCCGGGCCCTCCCATTGAGCTAGGGCCACCTCCCCACCTGGAGATCAGGAATGCACACGGAGAGGATGTGCTTCCCCAGCCAGGGGGTTAGAGACCAAGGGCCCCTGAGAGCCCGTCTGCAATACACCCACCGCTACTGGCAAGCCCCAGCCCGCCTCCCCTCCAACCAGGGGATACGTGCACTTACAGGGGTTCCTTGGGACTCGCAGGCGGGAATGAGCTCTCCGTGTCTGAACTTGGACAGACAGGATGGGGCGCTGGCTGGGTGGGGGTTTAAAGGGCCGCTGCTGCTGCGGTGATGTCAGCCTCCCCCACTGGCTCACCCTTCGGCCCCCTCCCTGCCAGAAGAACCCGGCCCGGTCCCCACCCCTGGCCCCCCCAGTGACTGCACAGAGGCTCCATATTTGGGGAAAGACACCAAGTTGGAGCAGTCTGCCGGGGGCTGCCCGAGACATTCTCTGCGTGCTTTGGAGATGGAGCCGGCGGGGCGGAGCTGCGCTGCCGCCCGGGAAGCAGCCGGGAAAAGCCTTTTATGGACAGGACCATGAAGGCCTTCCCTCCTGTCTGGCCTTAGGGCTGCTCCTTCGGCACTGCTTCCTGCCCCCGTGTTTGAGGGGAGTCTGGCTAGAGAGAGAGGGAAAGAGCTGGGGGATGGGTCCCTGAGGTTTGGCGGGGAGTAACCCGCCACCCTGTCTTCCTGAGGGTTTGGCTCTAGTTGGAGATAGGAACTACCCTTTACCGAGGACCTGGCACAGGCCAGGCACTTTGCAAATGCTCTCATTTAATCCTTGCAGCCACGCGGTGGGACAATTACTGACCTGTTACAGATGAAGAAACAGACTCGGGGTGCATGTCTCACCCAAGGCCACGTGGGGGGCTGTGAGTGGCAGAAGCCGGATGTCCCCGCGGGGGGGCCCCCCCGTGTGGGAGCTGAGAGGCTGTGAGTTGTAACCATGCTGCTCCGGCTGGGAGCTTCCAGTAGGGGTGGGTCTTGACTTAGATGCTTTAGCCAGGGTGGAATCTGAGGGCTGGGCAGCAGCTCAGTGGACCCTGGCCCCCATCCAGAGGGTCTCTAAGGCCTGGCAGGGCTGAGACACCAAGGCTGGGTGGGAGGCTCAGTGACGCTCTCCTCCCTGCCTCCCTGCCTCCCTTTGGAACAGACTGAACCTCCCCTAGAGAACAGACTGGACTCCATCCCTCCAGGAAGGAGACTCACTCCTATGTGGCTTACACCTGGCCTCAGGGGGGTGTCTGGGGAAGGGGTAGAAGGTGAGACTTGCAGTGGGTTCTCCAGGCTGCCCGCTGTGGCACCACCCCACCCCCTTTCCCAGGGCAGCTTGGCAGGGAGGAGCTAACACTCTCCAGTGGACACCGGCACACCCAGCACCTCCGGGAGGGGGTCAGCCAGGCCTGGCTATCGGGGGAGGCCTGCCCACCTCCCGGCTCAGAGCCCAGTGGCACAGAGCTAGAGTGCCCCCCAGTGGGCTTTGCTGGGAAGAGCAGGGAGAAGGGCGGGAGATCAGCTAGATGGCAGCAGACTCCTGGTGAGTTGCGAATTCACTAGCTTCCTAGCCGCCCCAGATCTTAGCATCCTAGGCCCATTGGAACCTAAATCAACTTTCTAGGGTCATTTCAAAATTCCCACTTCTGGGAGCCTGCCTGCCACCCATGCGCACTTACCCACCGTCTTGTGTTCCCCCACGGACCTCCTCAGCCTTGGCCTGCATTCCCTATTAAAGTCCTGGGGCGGGGCGGGGCGGGGGGGGGGGCGGGCTGGGTGGCTCAGTGGGTTAAGCATCCAACTCCTGATTTCGGCTCAGGTCATGACCTCTCTGTTTGGGGGTTTGAGCCTGCTTGGGGTTCTGTCTCCCTTGCTCTCTGCCCCTCCCCCACTTGCTCTCTCTCTCAAAACAAAAAAAAAATCCAAAAAAAAAAACCCTTAAAAAAAAAGTCATGTCAGGAAGTCCTGCCTGCACATGTAGCCTGCCCAGCAGGGAGAGGCTCAGTCAGAAGTGAAACCGGCCTGACTCGTAGGTGGGGAGCCAGGTAAAGGGGTGGCAGATCTCAGCGGCGAGCTGGGGCTGCTACAGTTTATTCACTACACTCTCCTCTCTGCCCAGCACAGTGCCTGCCATGAAGCCGGCCCCTGGTAAGTATTTCCTGGATTGATGCTATTGCTCAAAGGACAGGAATAACCTTGGGGAATCGAGGACACGTGGGGAAGACAAGGGGGGAATCTCTTGTTGAATAGAGAAAGGTAGACCAGGAGAACCCGAAAATGAAGGACCTCTGCCCCATCCTTCATTCGCAACATCTCCACCCAGAAAGGAGGAGCAAACAGGGGCCCAAGAACTGCGTCTGGTTGTTTCTTTAATTGAATGCAGACTCATTCATAGAAAACAGAAATGCAACCATAGCATGGAAACAGACATTAAACGGAGTTCTGAAAAAAGATCCAGATCCACCTCCTCTCCTCAGCCCAAGGGAGAGCTGTAAAAACAAGTTGGGCAGATAAGATGCACTCCCATCCCCAAGGCAGAGGCCTGACCTGACCTCCCCCAGTCTTGGCATCTGGAATGGACCAGTTAGGGGGAAGGGGATCGAAGGACCAGAGCAGCCAGGGGGCCCAGAGCTGGGGCAGCTCAGTGTAAACTTCAAGGTTTCATACACGTATATGTGTGTGAATAACACAAAACTTGGCCAAAGACAGGACGGAAACACGGGAGCCAGCCCTGGGTCCTAGAGTGAGGCTGGACTGGGGACACTGACCGGAAGATCATGTCCCTTCCTGAGCCCCCTTCTAAGATAGGCACTGGGGCTCCCGCGGCTGTGAGGAGACAAGAGGAGCTGGGCGCCTGTGTCCCGCTCCTTTGCCCCTGGACATTCTTGGGCAGCGTCAATGGCACTGAATGACCCCCCAGTGGGGGCTTGGCAGGACTGAGGGCCCAGAAAGAAAAAGGAAGGAAAAGGGGTGAATTCAACTTTTCCTCTGATCCTGGTGCCAACATCAGTCTGGGAGCCGACGGGACAAGCAGGTGACCTCTGAATTCAGCCCCTCAGATCAAAGGCGACTCTCACACACGGGCTGACCCTTATTACTACAGAGCCGGTCCCAAGCACAGGTCAGAGGGGGGAGGCAGCGCTGCCTGAAGCCCCTTTTAGGCCATAGCACCAAAAGCGTGGCACCAGCTGGCCAGCCTCCAAAATCCTACAGCCCATGCATCCTGACGGGCAGTAATGGCAGTCAGGTATGGCCTCCAAGGGCTGTCAGGCCCTGGTGCAGGACAGAGAATCAGGCCCAACCGGCCCTGGCCTAGAACTCGGGGAGAAGAAAGGGCTCGCGGTCGTAGGCTGGTGGGGAGGGGAGGGACGGGCAGAATGCAAGGCATGAGATGGGCAGGGCAACACTTCCCTCCTACCTCCTGCAGAGGGACAGGCGGAGAGCCGACGGACAGGGCCCCTGAGAGGCCCTCAACACTGAGAAGCAGCAGCAAGTGGCCAACATCTGGGGTCTTGCGGGAGCAGGCCTCCTCTCTGGTGGAGGGCAGCCGCCAGGCTCACCGCTGTGACTGTCCCGGGCCCAGCTTGGGCCTCGTCGTCCCGCCACCCCCCACACCGGGCTGCAGGGCGCGGACGCACACCCCCAGAGCTATGGGGGCTCTGGGCGGGAGGCAGAGGAGCTCAGGGCCCCGTGAATAGAGCAAGGGGCCTGGCTCCTGCTAGAAGACATAGATCTTGTCCCGCTGCACGGTGTCCAGGTCATCGTCCAGTGTCAGCAGCACCTGGGGGGGGGGGAGGGGGGACGCGGAGTCAAGTGCAGGCAAAGAGGCGGCCTTGGCCTCTCCCCGTGCTTGGGCAGAAGGGTCTCACGTACCAGGAATGACCCGAACATGGCAATGGAGGAGAGGAAGTGCCAGATGTCGTGGTCGTCAAAGAAATCCAGGAGGATGCAGTCTCGGTTGTGCTCCCGAGACTCTGCAGGGGTTTTCTGGGGAGGAACGGGGAGAGCTGCCTGCGGACGCTGCCCGCCAAGGCTGGGGCCAGACCGGTGCCCGCTCCCCCTGGCTGCCCTGCTCCCTGTGCCAGGCAGGAGAGCGCCCTCTTTCTGACTCGCCCTTGCCTCGTCTCCCGCATCTAAGAAATGGCTCTTCCAGGTTTCTCCCTGAGGATGCTGGCTTCTGCCCTTTCCTTTCCTTTCCTTCTACTTTAACCCTCAGCTTCTTCCGCCCTTTATGTAAGAGCACAGGGCTGAGATCACCTGGAGGCGCTAGAAGGCCTCAAAAGCCTCCCAACTTGGTTCTGTGCCAAGGGGACTCTGCCCCCTCCTCTAATCAGTGACTCCAGGCTCACTTTGTCTCCACAGTATTACAGGCAAGACACACAGCCCTGCTCGAGGACAACAGGGGCTCTGACCTGTGGGCCACGGCCTAAGGCGCTGGGGGTCCTCCATGCTCACCCATAACCCCTCTCCAGCAAACCCTGCCCAGACATCCCTGAGTCCACGGGCCGTCTGTGCCACACGCTGAGGCCACTGAGAAGGTGACACCTGCCTTGCCCTCAGGAGTTCAGTCTTCACTTAGCTCCCAAATTAGTGCATTCACTGACTCCAAATCTGCCTCATCTAGTCCTGCCTCTGCCTCATCTAGTCCTGCCTCTGTAACGTTACTCAGGTCACAGCATCTGTGGACCACAGGGCCCTTTCTCATCACCCAGGGCCTTTGAGGCCATGAGCACAGTCTGCCTCCTCCGGGAAGCTTTCCTGGATCTCCTAACTCTGTCCTCTGCCCTCGTGTCCATTCCTCCTTCCTCTCTGGGCCATACCTTCACCACCTGTAATCATACTGCAAAGAGCAGTCCAGGAACTGATCATCTCTCTCTCTTCAACTAGATTACAAGTACTTCAATGGAAGAGACCATGCTAGACTTAGTTCTGATCACAGAATTGAAGCCTGATTCATGGCAGGTGCCTATGAGGGGGAGGGGAGAGCCCGGTGTTTCTGGCTTCAAACCCCAGCTGTGCTACTCATTGGCTGTGTGACCTTGGGCAGGTCACTTGGCCTCTCTGAACCTCAGCTGCCTCATGAGTAAAATGGGGACATCCTCATGCTGGCATACTGAAAGCTGGGAGGATTAAATGAGAAAGCAGCTGCGAAGGAGCTCGGTAGGTGCTCACAAACCATGTCTGGAAAGAGAACTGGGTGTTTGTTGGTCACGAGGAGCCTGTGGGCGACCCCCCACCTTCTTGGCAGGACGACTACTCACCTGCCAGGTGCTGAGTCCCTGGAAGAAGAAGAA